TTTTCTCCTTGGTAGTTCCTTGATTAGGGTATTGTTTTCTGCTTGATTGTTTGTCTCGTGTTAATCCCTGCTTATCTGGGCATTGGCTGCTGGAGGGGATGTATTCTGGTCTTTTCTGTCTCCTTGTTAGCTTTCTGTTTTTTCTTTTGAATAGTGTATAAATATGGTTTATTTCTATGTGTCTGTTGATGGCTGATTTGTCTGAATGCCAAGCTTCCAGGAACTCTCTAGCGTTTTTGGATTTGGCTTGATCTAGGATGCTCACAGTTTTCCAGTTGAAACTGTGGTTGAGTCTGTCCATGTGTTGTGAGATTAAGGAATTTTCATCATGTCTATTGACTGCTAGTTCGTGTTCATAGATGTGCTCTGCTACTCTTCTACCTGTCTGTCCTTCATAGTGGCTTTACACTCCATACGCTGTAAATGTCTCCTGTTTTTTCTTCTTGGGCTACTGGGTCTTTTGGTTTACTTAAGATGTTTTGGAGGGCTTTAGTTGGTTTGCGTGCTATGATGATGCCGTGCGATTATAATAGCCTGTTGGTTGTTTCTGAAATGCTTTTGATATATGGGAGTGTTATCCTTTTTGTAGCTAGTGTAGGTTGTGCTGTAGTGGGTTGAGTGGTCAGGCATTTTTTGATAAAGTTCCATGGATATCTGTTTTGTTGGAAGATGTTGAATAGGCAGTCTATTCAAATCATTTACCTTTTGCTTCTTTTATAACCTAGAAAGGCAAGGATCAAGCATGCATAATAGGTCCCATCTTGTCAAAGATTTTGTCCCTATTTCAGGTTTAAATTATCCTTTCTAACTGGACAAAAGAGATCAAATTTCTATTCACCAGATCTGTAACCATTATGGCATCCAAGTCAAAATGAATGCAAGTGATTCTAGTTCCAAATTGGTCACAACAGTATAATGTGGCCCATATTTTCATTTGCCAGCTTGTACATAATCAATGTTTATCTCTGTCAGAATATTTTATTTGCTGTCACCCCAATATGCATGTTTGTATACAATTTCCACAGCTGATCCCTTTTTTGTACATTTTACAAGAGGTACACCTTTTATATGCATCAATATATTCATTTTTGCATGCAAGTTTTGAGCTGACAAATATTTAAACAGTAGACTTTAAAAATCATGTGTCCATTTATGGCATGATGGATTCCATTTTTGTAATTTGCACCATTTTGCTTAAGAAGAAATCATTGCTATTATATTGTCAGATGTTCTATCCATTATTAAAATTGGCCATGCTAATTGCTAAACAGTTTCTATTTATATATTTTTAGCTTTTAGAGCTTCATGTATTTTACGTTCCAGAAGAAGTGTGGAATTTCAGGTTGAATACAGTTCCTATAGAAGTTATTAACAAATTCTTTTCGGCTGGATTTATACGGTGAGATGCAATAGAATAATAATAGCCTTAACATTTAGCAATTCTAGTAACTAGCAATTGCTTAAAATGCTTTGCCTGTGCTCCACAAATGTTACAGCTCCAAGGACTAAACGTTTGATAGGGAATTTCTATGAATCTTCCAACTTCTTTAGAAAAAACGAAAAAACTGCTATGACCATTTGAAATCAGGACCAAAGAAATTGTAGGAGAAAGGTGTCTTTCACCTCCTTCCTGCTTAAAATCTCATGCAAATTGTTTTTCTCTGTATGGGAAACATTCATCTGTTGTGTATCTCCTTCCACAGAGAAATAAATTTTGAATGGAAAACATGGAAGGAAAGCAAACTCTCGGTTCTTTTGCTCATTACAGTATTTTAGCCTCTTGTGGAAAAAAATGGAAGAACTACAGTACAGAACTAGGTTTTAATTTATAGTATGGCTTTATGGAACTAGGGAGACAATATTTATTTTCATGGGATAATTTTGGAATTATTGCTCTCTTGTATGTAAATTATGCTTTGGTAATTCCTATGCAGGAAAGTTAGCACTTTAAATCAGTATTTTTGTGGCACGGAAATATTTTCATAGTGGTGGACTATTCTGATATTGAGAAAATAATATATTTCACATGAACAGTGTGACCATTTCTATAATATATATTTAAAAGACAGATTGTACTGATAAAGTATAAGCATTTCCATGAAGAATAATGAACCTAAATTGTGGATAGATCAAGATACTTACCAAAGTCACCAGTTCTAACAGTTTCCTAATTATAGAAGAGTAAGTGAAAACATTTTGAATGCTTTGAAAAATAAAATATTGAGGGTTTTATGTACAAAGTAACAAAGAACATTTGTACCACTGTATTCCCTCCCATGTCTTCCTTCCGATTTGGAAATGCAGACACCAGACACAGAATTAAGAGCTTAAGACAGTGGGAATATAAGTGTTATTGCTAGGGCTGTGGGAAAAGCAAGTATACTAGGGGTCTAAACTTGGACCAGCTCTTCAGAGAATGTAACATTATTTCTAAAAGTGGTGAATTATCCTCACGATGCTGTAATGGATGTACCTGGGTAACTCATCTCACCAAAACGAAATACTGTGTAATTTATGCATTATCATGTCTTTCATATTGATGCAGTAATAAAATCTGATGTTCTAGGGTGTCACCTCATATGACATTGAAAACGTTAAGAGAACACCTTGGAGAGTACCTAGGTGAAGATGCAGTTGTAGATAAGTACATCTTTCTAAAATGTATTGGAGAGAAACTTGTGGTGGTAAGTTACTTCATGTTTCTTGCTGATCGTCATACAGGATTATCAACATGTATATCCAAGGATATCACCCAGGAACAAAATTAATAGTATATACAGTATTGGCAAAATGACTTCTGGGTAATACTGTGTGAGACAATGAATATATTCTGACATTTATTAACCACACTGCAGTTTTCTTTTAAAGGAGATCTGAAACTAACCTTGGCAGCGAGTGACATGTCCTTATATTCTGCCTGAATTTCATGGAGTAGAATGCCCATAGGCAATTGCTAACCACCATGTAGATGATCATTTTATAACCTTTCCCCTATTTAAATTATTTGGATATTTATAAATTTCCATTGCCTGTAATAATCCTGGGGAAAATAAGCATTTCAAAATGAAGCTATACGACAAAGGAGCAGTAGGAATAGAGAAGCTAATATGTTTTTAAATAATCTATTTTATAGCTATGGTGCAGCATATCTTTGTTAATGGATCAGAGATCACATATGTCTAAGAGATGTGCTTTTTCTGAATGGCAGCCCTTTTCATGCTACATCAAATATCTATTTTCAATAATTAAATAATGTTTAAAAACAATGAAGTAAGTTTAAAAAGGAGTTTCAGAACAAGCCTGATGAAATACTGCTTGGGGAAAAGAACAGTACGTGAGGTCTCTCCCCTCACAATGAGTATCAAAACCTACATGTTAGAATCCTATAAGGTTGCATAATACAACTCCAGGAGCATTTCATCAATTAAGACGTTTTAACTGATTTGTAAAGGATATGAAAAACCTAAGTGACCAAAATGTTTGTTCTCTTTTAAAAGGCTTCTTTTCTGTGAATAGTATAAATTTTCATATATATCATGAGAGAGGCTGAAAGATTATTTAAGCTTCCTATAGCAAGAGTTGCTGGGAGTTGGGTGGCATATAAATTTAATAAATTAAATTAAATTAAGATGCCGAGACATTCTAAAAACACATAGGTTGTGTTTAGTTTTTAATTACAGATGCAGTGGTAGGTAATGATTCTGAAACTGAATAGTTAAATAATGTCACTTCTCCCTCGAGTTTCTACAGTTCTCACTGATAAGGACATTTGTATTGCTTTTCCTATATTTACTGCTACAGTTGTCTTTTTGCCACTTCCTTTTCTGGTCTTAGCTGTGTGAAACATGAGATGATTCCTTAAACTGCCTGATCTGCCATGTGCTTTTCAGGTTATTCCATACGAACAATAAATGTGCAATCGTATTTTATGCATCCCCTTGAAAACCTGCTTGACAGATCTGACTCAGATAGCTGTCCTGGTAACAATCAGTAAAGCTGCCACAATAAATCATATACAGTCATATTTCTCCTTTTCACTTGCCTCCATTATAAACCTTGACTAAATTTTCATTTGTCTAACAATGGCATGTATTATCTATGGTAACAATTTTAAAGGAAGCACAGAAGCAACACACTAGGATGTTTGCATCACCAGCTGGTTACTAGTAGGCACTGGATTATACAAGGAAGGGAATCCAGTTGCAATCTAATTCACTGCAATAGCAGTAATGAAATCATTTCCAACTTGGGCACTCTCTCAGACTTTTCAGGAATAACTGTTACAGCATTACAGTACTTTGGATTTGATTCCAAGAAGGTGCTTTGGAACACATTGGGGTGAAACATAGCAGCAGTCTACAACTCTTGGAATTGCCATTTCCATAATCCTGGGAAAATATACAATGTTTTTTAAAAAGTTGCAGACTGGCCCCCACAAGCTCTGAAAGAGATTTGTAGGATTAGGTCCAAAGCCCTGCACAATTCTAATGATTATGTTGGCCAAAGAATTCTAAGTGTTCATTCATTTGTTAGATTTACATCCACTTTTCATTCAGGAGCTCAAAGTAGGATACGTACAGTATAACCTCCTATTTTCTCCATAACAACCATCCCATGATGTAGATGGGCTGAGAAAGAGTAACTGGCCCAAAGTCACTCAGCAGGTTCCCATATCTGAAAGTGGACTAGAATGCGGCTCTCCCTGTTCAAAATCCACCTTAACCACTATACCACATTGGCTCTGTGCATCTGGAGCATGCCATATTGGATAAGCCTGAAAGAATATGTAATCCATTGTCTCTAGTTTTAACAACCCACTACACTAATCTGTAAATCAGCAGTTAGCCTCACAAACAGAGTGGTTTATGTTTAGTAATATAGTGCTGCATCTTCATTGATGTTAATTATAGCTAGGGCTAATTAGGGTCAATATTAACCAATATTCAAAACCCACTTAAAATACCTTTTAAACTCCTAACTGATATTGAAACTAATTACTGTTAACTATGCTTTATATCTGTGAATATAATAAATAAATCAGTCTTTATGTATCCAGATCTGTTGGACTATATATCTTGTAATTCCAAGTAGTCAGGACAATTTAGACATTGAAGTGCAGCACATTTGATAGCATTAAATTAGGGAAGGCTAACTAAACTATACAAACACCATGATAGGAAAAACTCTTGCAAGGGAGGGAAAGAGAGATGGAAACAGACATTGTGCAAGTTCCAAAGGTATGCTCTCAATCTGCAAACTATAATTTGCTGGAAGTCCATGCCTTAGCATTGTGTAGGCTTTATTTATTTTTATACATTTCAAATCAGGCTTTAAAAATAATATAATCATCCTTTTGAGAATGTTGAAGTTGATGCGTAAGATTTGAAAGGCAACTCTGTGATTATATGTACATGAGCAAACATTTGTTGAATTGTACTTGTACTAGGCTTTAAACTTTTCTAAGGTTTTTTTTTTCTCATAAAAGGGAAGGAACACTATGAAAACGGTTGCTGTTATTTTAGGAGAATCAGCAATATTATTTTTATATTTATCAAATTAAGTAATTCATTTTAAGAATATCTTTTACTTTCCTTTAAAAGAACTTACTCCTTCCCATTTTTTAAAATGTGTCAAAACTGCACAGTATGCAGGTAGCAATTTTATATTGGCATTAAATAAATATTTTCTTGAGCTCAATCTGAATAATCTGATAAACAGGTTCTTTGAAATGAAGTTTATTCACTGACAAGATTTTTTAAAGACCTTTTTTTAAAAAAAGGATGAAGGTCACACAAAACAGTGCATTAAACAATCACGTTAAAAAGAATAAAATGTTATGAATGCTAAAATTAAAAATCAGTAAAACAGTGGAATAACTCAATTCCTGCCAAAGCAAAATATCTTTATAAATAAATAAATAAATAAAATCTTATACAAATATTCCTTATAATCATCTTCTGTGATTTTCTGCTAACACTTGAATATGGCATTTAAAATAATGGAATGTTTTATGAAAGGGACAGAATCTACTGGAGAAGAAAACAACTGCTCCAAAGGGTCTTCCAACCCACGATCCTGATAAATTTTTGGAGTTTAACAGAACTGCAGGGGAATGAGGCAAAATTGTATTTTTATTCATGTGAAATTGGAATTTTACCCAATTTCTATAAGTAAAGGTGATGGGAAGATTGAAAGCATTTTGATAATATTGCCTTTGTTGTAATGTTCCAAGGTGAAAGCAAAACAAGAGATGGAACTGAAGCTCAAATCATTTGCTCCTCCATACGTATGTACAGTATATTGTTACTATTTTAATTTTAAGAACAAAGCTAAAGTTCTTAGTTCTTAGTTATTTTCTTTCATGTTCAACATTGCAGGCATTTCATCCAGAACTGTATTTGTTACCAGGAATAGGAAGTATTTATTTATCTTCCTCATCAACTCCAGAAAAACACCATAATAATCCGGAATATGTGCTTACATATGCATCATATGAAAGACCACATCGTTTAATTTCTCCAAATCCTGATGATGATCAAAACCCAACAATGTTAGATAGCTCCTTCAAAAACAATCTCAGTCAAACTCAGGAAAAAGCTCATTTTTCTGGATGGAATGAAAAGGAAACAATTCCAGTTCTACATAAAAAGCAAATCTCTGAGCAAGAAAAGAATGAAAGTATTCAAGGAAAAAATAGTTCACAACAAAGGAAAGGTGAGACTTTAGAATTTAAATGGAAGGCTATAAAAGTCAAATTATAAGTAAGGTAACATTATTTTGCACTAATGGGAGAAGGAGTCATTGTAGTTTTTCAAACAAGATGTATTTAGTTTTGCTGTTAAGTCTGTAGCAATATTTCCTGTTCTGCTTTCTTTTGTCTCAGTTCCCAAAATTCCACTTCTATTTTGTTGCATTTATAGCAGAGAGATAATTGATTTCGATAAGCTTATGGAACCTTGGGTACCTAAGGAGTTTCTAGCAATATGTCAGTAATTGAACAATGAGGCTTTTGGATTGCCTTATGTGTATATAATTTAGAATAATTTATGGCAGTGTCCAGCATCTCTGCCATGTTACATAAGCATCTTGAGTTTACTCTGGTTAATCTGATCTGATTGTTTTATCTTTCTCATATATAATCTAGAAAATAGAATATCTAAAGATTTTTATTATGTTTTGTCAATATCATGTCCCCTTTATCTTAAAAATGATATTTTTTCTTAGGTGAAGTTAAAGTCTCTAATAAACTAGTGACTTTATTATTAATAATTGTTGTATTAATTATTAATAAAATATATAATGTTTATATACATTATATAAAGTAAAACAGTTCAAATAACTAAAACTGATTTCATGTGATAAAATCAATATGATACGGTTAAATCTAATATTGTACAGTACTCTGAAATATACAATATTATATATGTCAATCTATATATCTTAATATAACATTGTGTCATTTTTCAGGCAAAATCAGTTGTAACATTGACAAAACAGAATCTGTTCCATCGTCAAGTTCTTCAAAACAGCACCCCGCAAAGAAACTAGCATCAGTGAAAATTCATCAGAAGAAGACTCTCAGCCCAACCCCAGAAAGGCATAATATTCCAGGAAAGGATGAAAAATACAAAAAGACAGTTGCACCTCCAAAGAGAGATCAGAACCATGAAAAAGAGGAAAACAACCAGTTTCCATTAAATCACACCCCACAGAATACAAAAGGTAACTTTATTTCACTAAGTATTGCACATAATTTTTATTTGCGTTTGTATCTGTGATAAGTAATGTAAGGAATTTATTCAATTATAGCTTTGTCTGCTGTTGTCCTAATTTACACCTTCTGTAAGGAGCTGGCATTTCTAAGACCTAATTATAGATAGTACGTAATACTGATATTTCAAATGCAAGAACATTTCATTAATATGTTGACTGCAATGCATTCTTTGAATGAAGCTCTTTGTGACCTGTGGAATAGATCCAGCTGTCATATGAGGATGGCTTTATATGACAAGTATATGGAAATATACTTAGGTGTCCTTAAGATGAGACGAAATCAGAATCTTGAAGTGACCACTTCTACTCTTGATGTGATTGAAAAAATAGATTCTATAGACCACAGTGGTGTAAAATGAGGAAAATGCATTCCAGGAAATATTAAATTGATGGCTTAGATCCAGCCTGCATCCCATTTCCCCTTCTTTGCATCCTTCTGTGCTGCAGGGCTGGACACCTTCTATTAAAACATATTGCATGCTTTCACTAGTTGTTCTTAACACTTCTTTATCTCAAGATTTTCTCTTGCACTTGGATTGTGGTTGGGAGCCATTTGCCTATCAATGTTCTAGTGCTTTTCTGTACTTTGATAATTTCCATTTTTACATCAGATGGATAAGTGCAGTGCAATTAGTAGATGCTCTTTGGAGGGAATATAAGACCTCATCTTGTACCAGGTTGTGGGGTCAAGTTCAAACTCAGTGTTCGTTTTATGTGCCATTTCAATTAAGCTACATTGAGTTAAACTACTATCCATCCTTTCTGGTCTTGGCACAAAACAATGCCGTCATAAAATTGGTTGTCAAGATCATCCATTTCTATCATGCCTCAATCAAACATGTGATTGTTTTCTCCTCTGGCTTTGCTACCATCCCTTTTAGCATATCACTAATATTAGGAAAATATCCATCAGTCAAAGTACTGTAGTATAGATGGGGTTCGCTGTTATTACCCAGTTCCACAGTTCCCTGTTGGCTTATATAGGCTGGTTTGTTTGCCTCTCTTCCCATATCTCATTTGGGCATCCTACTACTTCAAAATAAAGTGAAATAAAGGAACATATGGAAAGATGATTCCCAGTCATAAATGTGTCTCTACAATTTATTTTTAATGAAATGAACAGCATCAATAGGATTCTATTTTGGATAGTACATTAGAGACATACAGGGCAGAAATAGTTCTAGAAAGGAGGGAGGCAGGCACTGTCATGATAATATGGTCAAGGGGGATGTAGAAGTCTCATTAATTCAGGAACAAAATATGCCCCCCCTTCTTCCTCAAATGGAAAACATCTGTTCTCCTCCCCCCTACCTGGCTGGAAGCTTAGAGAGATTTGATTTTAAAAAATAAGCATTTGAGAGAGGTTACATAGCACTTATTGGAAGGCAAAATATAGGAGGAAATGGCTGTTGACACATCTGCCTGATGACTAGAGTAGAGGGGGCATGCCAGCACCTTCCAGTTTGCCCCAGTCATGCTTTTGTTTACACTCAGAACAGTTCATTTGACTTCACGTCCAAGTTAATAAAGAGTAAAGCATTATAGTTCACATTTTACACACTTTGAAGTTGTGGTGCAATAGTGTTAAATTAAGAGGGACAACTATGATGGTACACAAACTCATCATAGAGGATTGTTTAAATCAGGAGTTGGGGGGAATCTGAGAGCAACATTATGCGACCAAGGGAGAATGTTAAAGTTGGTATAGTTCTCTTGTAAAGTGCCTGTGGAAACCAGGTCTTAAAAGTGTCAAAAGCATTGCTGCTTAGAGGACTGGAAATAGCTGCAGATGCTTCCTTGCTTCCTTGCTTCCTTCCTTCCTTCCTTCCTTCCTTCCTTCCTTCCTTCCTTCCTTCCTTCCTTCCTTCCTTCCTTCCTTCC